ACCAAAGTAAAAGAAAAGTAACTTTTAAAAAATAAAAATAAAAATCCCTGATACAGATGTTAGGATTAGCCAACAAGGGTATTAAAGCAATAATTATATTTCAGATGTAAACAATGCAGATGATTAAGGAAAGACACAGAAGACAAATAAAAATACTAAAACCAAACTTCTAGAGATGAAAATGACTGACATTTAGAAATGTGATCAAAAGCACTTGAGGAAAAAAGCGCATTAGATATTGCAGGGGGGGAAGATTAGGAACTTTAAGGACAAAGCAATTGTGGAACAACTTCAAGTAGTTTAGAGTTCCCAGTAGGGCAGTGAGGCAGAAAAAATATTTTAGAAAATGACAGCCAATTTTCTTCCCGTGGTTGATGGAAATCATAAAACTCAAAGTTTGAAGAAGCTCAATAAATCCCAAGCACCAGAAACTCAAAGAAATTTATCCGAGACACATAAGATCAAATTGCCTTAAGTCCGTGACAAACAGAGAAATCTTAAAAGCAGCCAAGGGAAAAATAAATTCTGTTCTTAAAAACAAAAACAAGGATGGCATGAGATTTGTTGTCAGAAACAATGTAAGCAAGATAGTGGAGCAACATCTTTGCAGTGCTAAAGTAAAAAAAAAAAAATTAATAAAAAAAAATGGTGAGCCCATAATTCCAAGGCTACAGAAATATCTTTTAAACATGAAGACAGAGACATTTTTTAGATAAAGAAAATCTAGAAGAGTTTATCACCAGTAAATTAACACTACAAAAAATGTTAAAGGGCAGAAAAAGCATTTTCTCCAGGCAGAAAGAAAATTATACCATGTGGAAATAGAATTTGAACTTTTACATAGTTGACCCTCCACTGTCAGTCAAAAGTTCAATTTTGGCAATAACTACCGTGGCTTACAAAGCAGCATTTGTGCAACTATTGGTCACAAGGAATTGAGCAATTTAATTCAGTCTAGATTCAGGACTAGCAGGTAAGAGGCCTCAAATGTAATGAACATGAATTTGCCTGTCTTATTGTCGCATGGCATTGAGCCAACTCCAGCTCATAACTCTGGTGAATTCGTACACAACAGATGGAAACTGGGCCCAATCCTGGACCATACTCACAACCTCCACGCTGCTTAAGACCATTGTAACAGAAATTGTGTGATCCTAGCTCCTTAAAGGTCTTTCTCTCTTTTGCTGAAACTCTACCTTTCCAAACATGATGCCAGAAACATTTTAAAATTTAAACAAAGGACAAAGCAAAGCATTATAATGGAATGTGCAAAGAGATGGAATTGGATTGGAGAATAAAAAGGGAAGAACTCACTCTGCATTTCTCAAGCTGAAAGAACTGAAAAACAAATTCAAGCCTAGTATCACAATATTGAAAGATGCTATGGACACTATATTGAATGACCAATATATTCAATATTTCAATATATTGAAAGCATCAAAAGAAGATGGAGGGAATACTTGGAGTCTGTGTACCAGAAAGAATTGATTGATACTGAAAAATTTCAAGAAGTACCTTATTACCAATGGTAATAAAGGAGGAAGTAGAAGCCGCATTGAAGGCATTGGCAAAAAATAAGGCCCCAGGAACTGATGGGATACCATTTGACTTGTTTCAGTTAATAGATGCAGACTTGGATGCACTCACAAATCTATGCCAGGAAATTTGGAGGACGACTGTCTGGCCAACAGACTGGGGAAGGTCCATATTTGTACCACTTCCCAAGAAAGGTGATCCATCTGAATGTGGAAATTATTGAACAATATCACTGATATGAAATGCAAGCAAAATACTGCTGAAGATCATTCAAAAATGGCTGGAACAGTACATAGATAAGGAATTGCCAGAAGTTCAAGCAGGATTTAGGAGAGGTCATGGCACCAGGGATATCATTGCTGATGCCATATGTATCCTGATAGAAAGTAAGGAATACCAGAATATTTATTTGTGCTTTATTGACTATGCAAAGGCATTTGACTGTGTGGATCATGACAAGTTGTGGCATTGAGATGAATGGGAATCCCAGAGCACTTAATTGTGCTCATGTGAAACCTATACCTGGATCAGGAGGCTGTTGTGCAAACAGAGCAGGGGAGCTCTGTTTGGAATTGGGAAGGGAGGGTGTCAGCATTGTATTCTCGCTCCATACCTGTTCAATCTATATGCTACGCAAATTATCTGAGAGGCTGGACTCTATGAGGACGAATGTGGCATCACAATTGGAGGAAGACTCATTAATAACCTGCATTATGCAGATGACACAACCTTGCTTGCTGAAATTGAGGCAGATTTGAAGCACTTGTTGCAGAAGATCAAGGAATGCAGCCTTCAGTATGGATTGTATCTCAATATCAAGAAAATAAAGATTCTTACTACTGGACCAATAGGCTGTGTCATGATGGATGGAAAGGAGATTGAAACTGTCAACAGCTTCATCTCATTTGGATCCACAAGTAACATACTTGGTATGAGCAATCATAAAATAAGGAGACGCACTGGGAAAATCTGCAGCTAGGGACCTTTCCAAAGTAATGAGTAGTCGTGATGTCAGTTTGAGGACTAAGTTGCATCTGATAGTCTTTCCGATTCCTAGCTAAGCATCTGAGACCTGGACAATGAATAAGGATGACAGGAAAAGAATTGACGCCTTTGAGCTGTGGTGTTGGAGAAGAACACTGAACATCCCTTGGACAGCCAAGAGAACAAACAGATATGTCTTGGAGAGGGTGCAGCTGGAGTGCTCTTTGGAGGCAAGAATCCTGAGGCTTCATCTCACATACTTTGGACATGTTGCTAGGAAGTGCTATTCCTTGAAGAGGTACATGATGTTGGGAAGGGTGGAGGGTAGGTGGGGGAGAGGAAGCGGAAGACCCTCAACCAGATAAATTGACATGATGACTGCTGCAGTGGGATCTGTGTGTCAAGAATTGTGAGGATGGCACAGGAGAGAACAGGGTTCAGATCTTTTGTTCATAAAGTCACTATGAGTCGTGCTCCACTCGATGGCACCTAACAACACTAAACAACAACAACAAAATGCCAGAAGCATTTTAAAACTGAAATCCACCATTCTCCCTTCAATTCAACTCATGGCCGACCTCCACCGGGTTTCCAAGGCAGTAAAGCTTGATGGGGGAAGACTGCAGCATCTTTCTGCTGCACAGTAACTCGGTTTATTCAAACCACCTACGTTTTAGTTAGTAGCACAATGTGTAGAACAGTGGATTATGTATGTACTGTGCTGCTTGTGAAAGGGCAGCAGCCTGAAGCCACCAGCCACTCTGTGACAATCTCCTTTTCAAGATCCGAAGCCTTGGGAACCCAGCCATTCAACAGCAGTCACGTTTTCTGGTGTTTGCTTTTTGTCTTAGCAGTATATTGTGATGTACTCTTTAGAAAGATGAGAAGCAAATGAAAAATGTGCAATGCAGTTTTCAGAACTCTTATAAACTTAAACTCAACAAATGCATTGCTCTTGCGTTGGAAAAGGCTCACAGCCGACTATCCAGTGGGTTTTTCAGAGGCTATAACTGCATGGAGGAAAATGCTCATCTTTGTCACAGGAAACAGCTGGTGGATTGGAACTTTGAGACTTTGGGTTGGCAAAGCAACTCCCTACCATTAGGCCGTCAGAGCTCCCTAAATCTTAGAAAACAGACTCAAAGGTAGAAAATATAATGCACATCAAAAGAAGTCAGATAGTTGTATTCAACTATAAATTGAATTTTCACTTTTTATTAATTTAAAAGGGTATTTGTACAACACTGTCAACACCCTTGGTACCAGCAGTCAGGAAATCAGAAAACGTATTGCACTGTACAAGTCTGCAGTCAGAGACCTCTCCAAAATACTGAAGAGCAATGATGTAAATTTGAAGACTAAGGTGTATCTGATTCAGGCCATGGTCTACTCAATCACCTGCTATACATCAGAGAGCTGGACAATGAGTAAAGATAACAGAAGAAGAATTGATGTCTTTGAGTTGTGGTGCTAGAGAAGAGTACTGAATATCCCAAAGACTGCCATAAAACCAAATAGATATGTTCTGGAAGGAAAGGTTGTGGCCAAAACATTATTTGGAGGCAAGGATGATCAAGCTTTGTCTTTCATACTTGGACATGTAACTAGGTGAGGCCATTCCTTGGAAAGGGACATCATACTTGCAAAGATAGGGGATTGGCAAAGGAGAGGCAGACCCTCAAACAAGATGGATTGACACGATGATTTCAGCAATGGGCTCTAGTGTCTCAGAGATGATGAGGATGGCACAGGAGAGGGCTAGTTAAAAATGGTAGTTCATAGGGTTGCTATGCTCAATTCAATAGCACCTAATAATAACAACTATGGATATTTCTATAATATTAGAAATACAGAATCAAAGAGTACACATTAAAGGCATGAGTAACTAGAGTTATGTTTTATTTTCCCATTTCTGGGAAAGGAATTTCCTCCTGTTAGGCACTCAGGTCTGCTGTCTGATTTACACTATGTGATTGTGCGTGTATGAGTATATGCTCCCTTTTCTGCCACCAGCCTTATGCCAGTTTGTGGTTCTGTGGTAATTTGGTATTAGCATGATGCAGGAAGCAACTGTGCCATTGGTATCTCAAATACTAGTAGAAAAGACCTTGAAATCTATTTCTGTAAATTAGCCAGTGAAAATCTTCTATCAGGTCTCCGTCTGTATCTGCTCTCAGCAACACATTGTGTGGGAAAGTGGGGAATGTAGGGGCTCACTACAGCACAGGATGCGATTTCTCCTCTCCATTCCTTTGTCCTTATATCCTCACAGCAATTCATTACTGAGGAAATGGTAATCTATTAACAATCAGATTTTTTAAAAGGCATTCCTTAAAAATTATGGTTTGTGATTAATCAGACTAAACATAAAACTTCAATGATTTTCTTTGTGAAAGTCCATGCCAGAATTGGATAACATTTAAAACTTTATTATTATTGCCTTTTCTTTCCTGTTTTGCTTTTGACCCTTCTGCAGTTACCTGTTGTTTCTGGAATTTCCTCTTGCTGCCTGGTTCCCAGGAGGACGCGTCTAGCTTTTGCGGTTTAGGTGGCCTCACAGTAGACATTTTCTTCTGAGAAATCTGGCTGGGCCTCTTGGTGGAGAATGTGCTTTCATTTGATTGGGTCTCATAGTCAAAGTCAAACTGTTTCAGGATGAACTCTTCATCAATTTTTGAACTCCCCTGGAATAATAACACTTTCATGAGGCAAGGTCAAACGGCAGCAAGTTCCGTGCTTTCTGCTTTAATGTAAGGGTGATCACTGGCTATTAGTAAGTGGGGGTTTAGAGGACATGTAGAAAATTGTCAGTCAAAATTCACTGGAGACAAGAAGTACTTGGAGTCTAAAGGGACTTGTCTATGCATCATGAGATTGGTTAGGATCTGCATGAAACTGCATGTCTCTGAATGAAATCATGCACTGAGGATATATCACAGTGTTTGATCAAAAACAAGCTTCTCCAACATTCTATAGCAAAGACATTCTCAGTGGTGCTTCCTTGACATGTCTGGATTATCAGTGCCAAACTGCAGAGTCCCTTTTAAGGACACTGCCCTACCCACAGTTCCTGCTGAAGGAAGGAGTTGCAGTCAGTCATATTTTGCACTTGAAAGTAGAAGAGAGCAGTCTAGCAATAGGGTGAGAGCCTAAAACCATTTCAGGACCAGGACTTTAAAGTTCCTAAGACCTCTGAATGTTTCCTTTTCCTTCTTTAAACAGGTCTGAAGTGCATTTCAATTACTTGCTAATGAGACAGGTCTAAAAAAATATATATGTATATTGATTAAAATTAACTAATACACTAAAAAGTCAGGGAAAGAGGGGGACGTATTATCCTAGGTGGTCTTACATCCAAAGAAAGCATCAGGGATCTAGAGATCTGCAGGAACCAAACACCAAGACTGGGCAACTAAACAGGTCCTTGGAAAAAGAATAAGGAAAGAGCTTCACAGCTGATGCAAAAGCTGTTCATTTACAAGTATTTTTGTGCAAAGTCTGTAGTCAAGTGCAACTACCCAAGTACATGCATGTAAAAGAGAACAGAGAGCAGAGTAAGAGGTAAACGCAGAAAAAAAAGAAAGTCTTGACATTGAAATGGAAAATAAGAATAATAAACAATGGCAATGACATATTAAACAAATTGGTTGCACATTTGTAAACGTAAAGGAAATTACAGCTAACCAAAACCATTTCAATCTATAAATTGTGGAAGAGAAATTATTCCTTTGTAACTTTAATGACTTGACACCAATTCTAACCAAACACTGTGTTGTTTCATTTTTTTATTTTTTTAATAAAAACACTTTTGAGTTTGACTTTTCAAAGCAGATTGAAATGTTAATCTTAACTTACTATGGAAGTAGCCCACTTGCAGAAGTCACCAATTTCTTTGCGTACATTTTCATAAAGAGGAGAATCATGGATTGAATCTATTTTACTTGAAGTGTTCTCATAAAAAACCCATTCGTGTGACCGTGACACTGGAGTCTTCCGAGGACTAAAGAAAATGAGATTGTCAGATAATTACAGTATGAAACACAATGAACCTAAGTGCATTTTAGATGATATTTAGTGAGGAAAAGTGTATATAAAGCAAGTCTTTCTGTTTCTTGAAAGTCCACACAAATGTATTTTACTTTTTTTGAAGAGTGCATTCTCATGATTGATTCTCAGTCCTCTTCAGTTCAGATAAAACAGCCCCTTACCATTACAAGCTGAGTTTTGAAGTTCTTTGTTGTTGCTAGTTGCCATCAAGTCATTTCTGACTAGTGATGACTTGATGTAGAGCAGGGCAAATGCTGCCTGCTTCAGATCAGCCTCCTATCATTTGCTGTGCTAGAGCTAATTGATAGAGCTACTGTGTTAGCCCACTTCACCAAGGATTTCCTCCTGTTTGTTGGCCTCTACTTACACATGATGTTTTCTAGATATACAACTTGCAAGTATTCTTTTCTAATATAAATTCTTTCCTTTTAATTGTGATTTTAGCAAAATTTACAGAAAAGTTAGAATTTTCATTCATTAATTGTTGCACATTTTTACCCTCTCTCTCTCTCTCCCTCCCTTCCCCCCTCACAGTTCACTTTTTTTTAAATATTCATGTATTGTTGCATAATTACCTCACTCCTCCTGCTCCTCCCAGTCCTCTTTCAATGTACCTCTTATTCTAGGCTGTTATAGTATATGTGATACCTAATCAGATATTCCTTTTAAACAGTTCTTTCCTTCATCTGTTCCAGTGCTATGTTCGTTATCTATCCATGCTTATCCTGTTCTCCTCCCAAACCCTCATGTCAGACCTGCTTTATAACAGTGGTGCTATGCAGTATTTGTCCTTTTGTGACTAAGATAGTTCACTCGGCATGATGTCCTGCAGAATCATCCATGTTGTGTAATGCTTATTAGTTCATTGTTTTTCAGTTTTGTGCACTATGGTATATTCAGACAATAGAATACTACGTTATAATAAATCCGAACAAGAGATGATGTCTTCTTGAAGTAGACTGGTAATAACAGACACGATGAGATGTTTAAAATATATCTGTTGGCAGGTTACAGCTATTGTTGTAGAAGCAACTGGAAGAATGGAGTTGCTATTTACTAAGCTAGGGAATCTAAAAAGAGGAGGAGGTTTGGGAACGACAAGAGACCAGTTTTGAACCTGTCCAATTTAAAATGGCAATTACAGGCCTGACTACAAATGTTGACTGTCCACCTACAGATGGGCTGGATGAGGTCATTTGGGTGTGAGCATACACACAGAAAAGAAGTACTAACGCACATCAAGGTTCAAAGGAAAATGAGGAGTGGCCAATAAAAAAAGGAGAGGTCCATAAAGTAGGCAGAAAACTAAGAAAGAGGAATGTTCCAGAAGAAGATTGTTTGATTGCTGTGGTTACATCAAGTATAGAAATATTGAGAATTGATCTGGCAACATGAGGTCAATGATGACCTTGACCAAGGGCTGGTTAAGTTGAATGCTGAAGATAAGAGCCTGGTTTCTGTGAATTCAACAGAGTTCAGTTGGTTTGTTGTTGTTTTTTTTCCATGAAACAGAGAATAAGAAATTAGTATATATGCCCCTCTTGACTTTTTCTCTAAAGCAAGAGAGGGATTTTAGGATCAAGGATATTGCTTTAAGGTGGAAGATATGACTGACAAAGCTCTCCAAAGACATGAGGCCCTAATTTTTTTTTTTACAGAGGTTTTTGATTTCCATTCATTCATTGCTGCAATTTTCTCCTTTCCCACCCCTCCCCACCAGCTTGCTTTCCCCTCCGAAGAGAGAAAAAAAAAAAAGAAAAAAATTCCTTCATTAGTATACAATTCCCACGTCCCTTCCCCCCACCCCCCACCCCAAGTACACTTCTCTATGCAACCTTAATTCTGGATTCCTGTGCTAACCATAATACTCAATCATATATCACTTCTAATCTGTTCTTTCCCTCATCTGTTTCAATACAATATACATAATTTATCCAGTTTTTTCTGTCATACTCCCACCCTGATGTCAGACCCATTCTATAACAGTGGCACCATGCAGTATTTGTCCCTTTGTGACTGAGATATTTCACTCAGCATAATGTCCTCCAGGGTCACCCACTTTGAATAATATTGCATGAGTTCCTTGTTTTTCAATGCTGCATAATATTCCATTGTGTGGATATACCACAGCTTCTCTATCCATTCCTTTCTTGATGGGCCCTTAGGCTGCTTCCAACTCTTTGCTATTGTAGGCAAAGCTGCAATAAACATGGGTGTGCAAATATCTGCTTGGATGGCAGACATGGTCTCTCTGGGGTATATTCCCAGTAATGGGATTGCTGGGTCAAATGGTATCTCTATTTGCAATTTTTTGAGAAAGCACCACACCACCTTCCACAATGGTTGCACCATCTTACATTCCCACCAACAGTGAATAAGAGTTCCAGTTTCTCCACATCCTAGCCAGCATTTGTTGCTTGCTGTTCTGTTATATTTTGCTATTCTTACTGGGGTGAGATGATATCTCATAGTTGTTTTGATTTGCATCTCTCTTAGAGAGGCCCTAATTTTTACAATTTGTAACTGTGATCCTATTTAGGAAAGGGCTCTTTGTAGATGTGGATAAATTAAGTTGAATGTAATTAAAATTATTGAAACTGAAAGATTACCTGGATTATTTGAATGGGCCCTAAATGCTACCACAAATTATTGCTATTATTTGCCAATCACATGATTCTGACTCATAGTGACATCATCACAAAGGTGCTTATTAAAAAAAGGAAAGTATAAGATTACTTGGGACATCCACAGACAGGAAAGTGATGTGAAAATGTAGCAGATAGTTCAAAGTGATGGGCTCAAAGACTACTGTGAAATGACCACAATCCAAAAAATGCTTACAGCCACCGGACGTTAAAAGAAACAAGGAGCACATATTCTTGCCTAGTACATCAAGTGAGAGTGTAGTCCAGTAATACCAATTTCAGAATTCTGGGTGCCAGAACCCTGAAAGAATAAAGATCTATTGTTTTAAATTGCCATATGTCAGCAATGATGAGACTGGCTCACATCAGGGCAGGGTTCAGAGCTATTGTACATAGGGTCGCTATGAGTTGCAGGAAACCTGATGGCACGTAATACCACCACCACCATGTCTATGTATAGGGAGCTCTGGTGGTTTAGTGGTAAGAATCTGTGCTTCAATCACAAAGGTATGTGATTCAAATGGGCAATCTCCTCCTGTGCAATTTACTGCCTCTGACTCAAAGGCAAACAACAATGATAATCACAGCAGTCACAGAAAATGAAATAAATGTACAGGCTGATGAAAGAACTCATTATTATATAATTTATACATTCATTTCTGATAGGACAATTTATGAAGATACTAATTGTGTTCATTCACTCTACATTTCACATTTCTCCAATTTCAAATAGATCATCCATTCATTGGTCTTTTCTAACCTTGAAGATTTACTTTTTTTAAGAGAGACAAGGAAACTGCCCAAAGTGAAAGCCATGTTGCCTAGAAATGTGAGTTTGCCGAAGTGATTAAGAGAAATGCTATGTTGGAGTGCTGGACTAATGGCAAGAAGCTACACTGCAATCCACCAACCACTTCATAGGGAAAAAAATAGGCACTCTCCTCCAGGCAATTTATAGCCTCTGAAAAACCCACTGGAGTGTCAGTTATGAGCTGCTTCTTACTTGATGGCAACAAAATAGATAGATGATAGATAGATAGATAGCTACAGAGATATATCTATATCAATTTCTATATCTATATAGATCTAGATATAAATCTGTTTTGGAGAGGGTGAAACCAAGTTTCTCCTTGGAAGCTAGTATTGTGTGTGTGTGTGTGTGTGTGTGTGTGTGTGTGTGTGTGTACCATCAAATCAGATCTGACTGGTACAGGAGGAGATTGTCCCTCCTTCTTCAGCAGAGCATCTGGTGGATACGAACCGTGCACCTCTAGGATTACAGTGCAGCTTCTTGCCACTAGGCCACCAAAGCTCACAGGAGGCTAGTATTTTGAAGCTCAGTCTCACATACTTTGAGCACATGGCCAGGAGAGACCAGTCATTATGAGAGAAGGACATCATGCTCAGAAGGGTGGAGGGACAGTGCAGGAGGGGAAGATCCCAGATGAGATGGATTGAACCAGTAACTGGGGCTTACGGGGGTTGGTATATTGGAATCAGGGCAGGGCAAGCTTCAGAGCTACTGTACATAGGGTCACTATGAGTCGCAAGCGACTTGACAACAACAACTTTGTGTCAACAGTGGCAGCATAGTTCCTTACCACTAAGCCACCAGAGACCCTTTAAAGAACTGGAAACTGGAAATTACAGAATATTCATTACTGGTGTGGTTTATGAAAAAGAAAAAAAAAAAAAGACAACCAGAAACAAGCAGAGAGTTATACTCAAAGAAAAGGCTTTATATTAAGACTAACCATTTTAGGTGAACCAAAAGGATTTTATGCAGTTTCTGATTGTTAAATGCTGTTTCTGGAAGGAAATAGCTACAACCCTGGTTTGCTCCATTGCTGTATGTTCCACACCCATTTAACAAATAAACACTACTCACAGTGTTACCCAGAACACCTCTCCTCAGGAACATAATTCTTTTCTATTTATTCTAACAATGAGAAACTTTGGGAAGGTGATTCCTGGACCATTCCATCAGGTAACAAATTGAGGCAGAGGTTACTAGGACAATACTTACAGCTTTGGGGAGAATTTTACAGGCTGTTCATTTAAATGCTTTGTAGGCTGCTCCGTGGTCCTTTTCGAGGCATCTTCACAATAAGCCCACGTGTCTTTCAGCTTCCTCTCAGGATCTAGTATTTCCAGCACCTTTGACAAAAGCTATAAACACAAACTTGCCTTAGAAGGAAATAAAATAGGGACACGATGCTAAGAGACCCAAACTGGCACAACTGATTAATCAATCAGCTATTAATAAAAGGTTTGGTGGTTCAAATACACCCAGAGGCAATTTGGAAGGAAGAACTGGTGATATACTTCTGTTAGGACTATAATCAAGAAATCTTTTCAAAATAGTGCTACATTGCTATTCATGTTATTAACATGAATGTCATTCATGGACTTGGAATCTACTCAACAGAGATAAGTAATAGGTTGACCACATGACAGGTACCTATTTGTGGAAACCAGAGCAAGGAACAAATTGAATTCTTGCCCTTCCATAGCCTTTTTTTCTGGAGGTCTGGTGGTGACAAGTAAGAGATCTGATGGTGACAAATGTTAAGAAGAAAGAAAGAGAGAGAGAGAGAAGGAAGGAAGGAAGGAAGGAAGGAAGGAAGGGAGGGAGGGAGGAAGGAAGGGAAAAGAAAAGAAAAGAAAAGAAAAGAAAAGAAAAGAAAAGAAAAGAAAAGAAAAGAAAAGAAAAGAAAAGAAAAGAAAAGAAAAGAAAAGAAAA